CTGATCGACGCCTGTGCCCCAGCGCGCGCAGACACTGTGCTCATACAGACAAGAGACATAAGCGCTTGAGAGTTCATACAACGTGTGTGCTTCACATGTAAAGTGGCTTGTGGTCAATCGGTCCCCAGTGGAGTAACAAGTTTTGGGCTGGCTAAATAGTGTGGGCTTGTTGTTATGTCCTTTGGTCCGGTGGGGATGGCCTGCCTTCTAACTTTTATCTTGGAACCTCGTTGCTGTGCGAACGAGTGACTTGAGTAGGCGATCGAATAGACCGACGTTAATTTGAACCTTTTGGTAAATACTGAAGAAGGAAGACAAGTGGAAATCCAGGTTCCATAAAGCAGTTGAGAAGACGGAGTTCTAGGTGCCTAGCATCTCAGGTTCATACTCGTATCCATCACCAGGAACTATACCAGGTGAGGGTAATATTTTCACAAGTGTTACAGCGGCCAAAGAATGCCGTTGTCAGGCGACCGCGTACTTATCCACAATTGGTGGCCACTGCATTCGTCGCAGTGTGTTTCGCATGGTATGACAAGTGTACGGTTGTCCGCAATCGAGTAATTAAATAACGATACCTCATCACCTGTTTAGGTTCTTAAAACATTCGGCTCATCAACACTGATGGTGGGAACATTGTTCACTCGCGCGTCTCAGCGTCACTTATCACTCTGTCGAGGCAAAACCCTGCACAGAATATAGAGGCAGGATTTTACAGCGCTTGTTAGTAGACTGAGGGCCGGAGGACGCTGACGGCTCACGCGGTTGTCATCTCTCGCAAGGATTTTGGCCTTTTCGAACTTGAATGTGGGGCCGGTCTCGTCGAATGAGCCGCGACTTCGGAGTTGGCGTCATTTCTCCGCACTGCTGCCGTCCGTTCGTCTAGACGCGCTCGGAGCGGTCATCCGGTTTTTCCGACGTATTTGCTTTCTCCACAACCGTCACTCCAGAGGTTTCCTGCCCTAACAGACGGTTTTTCGACCTCAAAACCTAGCGTCTGGTGGTTACCTCCGGTTTGTGTACAACCCCAACCCCGAGGAGTAGGGAGAAGACGGCTCTCAACTTTCGAGATGTTCTTCAAGTACGAAATGGCTTACCAAAATTTGGAGCCAGTGCGATTTGACCCCTCGTCACGTTTTTTGATGAGTTTGCGCGAGCAGTCATTCGTTCTGAATACCGGTCGATGTATGTTAATATGGCGGCCTTTCCTTCTGGTTCACTGCAGTGTAGCTCAAATCGCGGACATAGGGCACTTGCACAATTTATTTGTAGCTTATTCGGCAGTTGCTCTTGAAGCTCCGTATTAGTGTTGCTTTTGAAATTGTTGAAATTTTTTATCATTTATTCAAGTATTCGGCTTAGGCAATTTGTCGGTGAGTGATTAGTCAGAGCATCTAGTATAGTGCATCGGACACAGGGCGTGCTTATCAAGGTTCGAGGTTGTAGATGTCAGATGGAATGGCTATGATAAAGGATTACTTGCCAAGAAGCGATCATTACAATAGACGGAACCGCCTGAACTACACGAAAATAACCTAAAAAAGTCGGGACAGGAAAATTTATCTGATTTCCATTTTGATGATTTGATAACGGAACACCCAGCAGTTTCAGTTGACATTTCGTCGATCCATTTTGATGCCTGGTCTCCAGCATTTAACTGGTTTTCTGCGCACTCATGAGAAAGACTTGCGCAGATATTCTAAACAAGTGGTGACCGCAAAGTTGGACGGTTATTAACACGACAAGAGTTATGCTATTTTCGAGTTCAGACAGGTTGACCAATGTTTAAAGAAGTTAGATTAGGGCCATCCTAGATCGACCGTCGTTCGTGACGACATCTCTTGCGTTTTACCGGGGGTGGGAGCTGTACCGACGATTTTCATGGTACAGACTTGTGCAGCTTCTAATGCACACCCTTACCCAACACCCACCGTGTCCCGATGGCAAGACGAAGTCAGGATGACCTGTGGTGGTTTTGGGCGCAGTGGCGGACGAAGCTAAAAAGCCCGTCTACACGTGCCACACGCGACCCGACATCTACCCCTGCTTCGTGCCAGGATGTCTCGGGTCTCGCCTGTCTGGGAGATCAGACAGAAGTCAGGCGAGTGAAAGCCCACTGAATCCCAATTTCCGAGGAGCATCGAGTAATCCCTTCAGTTGGTAACACTTAAATTCACGGCCGTTGGTATTTCGTGATGAATTCCGACGCGCCAAACTCTCTATGCCGAAGAGTGCGTAAAAAGGCCGTGGTGATCGGTTCCTCCTAAGCGTAGGACTCATGCTCTCATTCCTCTGTGAGAGCCCGTCAAGCGGAACTGTCTAACGTGTCGTGAGGTCGAAGTCCATCGCTTGCCATGCGCGCAGTCTTCCACCTCACGAAACCAGTTCTTGCCAAGCTGCACGGTCCCCAAAGCATGCAAGATATGCACATCTTCTAATACTAAACTCTGCCCCCCATAGCTGTGCCACTGATCTTGATGTGCACGCGAGCAACTAAGTTGTCTCAGATGAACAGTAAGTGGGTCTCTGTGGCAGTTAGAACAAAGTGATATTTAATTGAAGCTCTTTGCCAATGTCCAATGATGAATGTCTTGAGACAGTGTGGACAGGTGGGAAGTGAGTGACGGGTGTATTTCGCGGTTCCAGGCACTGGCTTATCGGTCTAAGTGCCGTGGGCTCTCAAGTGACCGACTAGGCTAATGCGTGGTTCTAAAATGCCTTCAAACGGACGCCTGTTGGAACTGAGCCCACTTTGTCAGGGATGTTGGACAGGGCGGCAGGAGTGTCCTTACTTGTGCTGTTGTGGACGTTTTGTGATGTGGAGCGAGTTATGCTGACATCGTGCTGTCTGAAAACAACCCGCAGGGACAATCGGTCTACTTAATGTCAGTTGACAGTGTAGACATTGTGGCAGACAATTTGGTTCGCAACACGTGTGGCCCGTGAGCCTTGACCGTTGCTGCTTGGCCAGCTGTAAGGGAGGGTGGGGAAGGGCGCCATTCTTTACGACAGTGTTCCGTGCCTTCTGAATCTAATCGGGGCCATCCCAGGTCTCATGTTTGAGTTGTGAGTGTCAGAGTAAGGACTTCGGCATTGTTGTAAGCAGCCATCATGGCCTGTTTGGCGTCATCGTTCAACGCCTTGCTACTTGAAGGTCATTCACCTCTTGCAGTGAGGTGGTGATGGTGGTGGTGGTGGTGGTGGTGGTGGTGGTGGTGGTGGTGGTGGTGGTGGTGGTGGTGGCGATAATAATGTTGCTGTTGTTGATGGTCGAGGAAGTGATGTTTGACGTGGTGAAGATTTGAATGGTGGTTTTGACGGCGTTGGTTCTTTCGGTGTTGTTGCGGACAGCCTTCATGGTCATTCTGTCGCCATTGGCTAAGGCCCCGTTGCTTCAAGGTCACTCACCTTCGCAGCGAGCGGTTCCAGACGCGCTGACCTGCAGCCACTCGGCCGAATTCAACTTGGACCCACGTGCGTCCACAAGGTCGCAGCCGCCCACGCACCACATGAACGTGCCACCCCCTGCAACCAGCAACACAAGCCACTGGGACACCCCCGTCGGCGACTGCAACAAACCATTTGGACACCACTTTCGAGTACCCCACAAACACACAAAAGCAGCTGCCACCACAGTTCTAAGGACTCTCAGGCATGACTGCACACAGTCAACACGAGCTCTGGTTTCCCCTGAGGCCACTGTCTCCTGAGAGGACAACGGCAGGCTCTGTATACAGTAACTCTCTCATTCTGGTGACTCTTGTCTTTTCATAGAACTCGGAATTTGGCCTGAAGTTTGTGGCGCTTTTAGTACACACATTTTCACTGCTTAGTCGCTATAACGTTTTTTTTTCGATGAGCACCTGTAGCAGAGACTTCGTAGAATACACGTTTTGGCAGACGTTTTTCGTCCACTTTTTTGATAGTTGTACATACCTCTGCATGGTTGAACAGTGGCGTGGTTCGCTTCACTTGGGATCCGTGAAATGCATTCATGGCCGCCAGCAAATTCCCTATTTCATCGCGGTCGACTTATCTCTGAAAGGTCTCATCTCTGTGAGTTAGCCTTTGTTTTAATAGCCGTCGGCTTTGTTGGCGTTGTTGCAACTTGTTGTGTAGATCATATTTAGCGTGTTCCTAGGCGAGGAGTTCGCGGAGTTCTTCGTCACTGTCATCGAACCAGTTTGGGTGCCGTCAACGCGCGTGACCGAGGGCTTCCATCTTGGTGGTTCGGATAGTGTTGCCGAGTTCCCTCTACAGCGACTTGACATTCGTATGCTAAGCATTTGTTTTAGATTGGAGTCCAAACAGCTGATAAGATCTAATCTAGGCTTACCCGCATCAAATAATAAGGTATTTAACCTACGGTAGATGTGCTAACTCATGAAATGTCAACCAAAATTTCGAAATGCGTTCTCGTTTCGAAAAGAAAAATTAAGTAGTGTTGCAAAAATAATCATGATGCAGGATAAATCTATAATGACCCAGTTACCTCAGGGTGTCGGCTTTCGAAACAACTTGTTTTCGGCTGCAGGCAGAAACCATACTTTTTAAAAAACTGACTACTTATGTAGCATTCAATTTTCTTATGGATTTTCGATGCCCTTGAAAATTCAATTATATTTCATGGAAAACGTACATAAAAATATTCATTCTTTTACTTATTCGGTAGAACATCACGTCTTCTTCCAATTTCATACTCAAAAGAAGAGTATAATTCGGTTTTAAAAAAATTCCCGAATAATTTTGAACCCGACCTGCTGTTACACTTACATTCAGGGTTTCTAAACTACAAGCTGTATATTTTCCGTGTACGGAAAACCATGCATTTCTCTACGGTGTTAGGAGGAGACCATATGAGGTTCATAAAATTAAGCAGTGGATTTGAGCGATATTGTTAACTTTGCAAGCCACATTCGTAAATGCAGATACATGACGTTTCATGAACGGCCATTTAAAAAATCTCACAATTAGAAACCTTTTTTAAAACCGAATTATACTCATCTTTTGAGTATGAAATTGGAAGGAGACGTGATTTTCTACCGAATAAGTAAAATAATGAATATTTTTATGCATGTTTTCCATGAAATATAATTGAATTTTCATGGGCATCGAAAATCAATAAGAAAATTGCATGCTACATAAGTAGTCATTTTTTTAAAAAGTATGGTTTCTGCCTGCAGCCGAAAATAAGTTCTTTCGAAAGCCGACACCCTGAGGTAACTGGATCATTATAGATCTATGCTGCATCATGATTAGTTTTACAACACTACTTAATTTATCTTTTCGAAACGAGAACGCATCTCGAAATTTTGGTTGACATTTCATGAGTTAGCACATCTACTGTACCTGATGTTGAATTATGTGCTTTGCAGTGACCTACAGAGTTGAAGATTTAACCTCATCTTGCAGATTAAAATGCAGCGCTCACCAGACCACTCATGCCTTCAAATGTAGACGTAGTGCAGGAGCTAGCGATAACGCGACCGGGGAACGTTCCCTTGGACTTCTCTCCTGCTTGAAGGCGTGCATGACACCTCCCTGTAGCATCACTTCTGTGATCTATTTTGACAGCACCAGAATGGCGACGAACTTTCGAAAGCCAGAGCTTGCAGGCCCCATTTAGGTGGGTAAGGTGTTTTCTGCTGCAGCCAGGTCCATAAGGTAGGGGCCGGCTTGTGTGTGGCACGCGTAAACGGACTGTTTAGATTTGCCAGTAGTATGTCGTTATAACTTTCCGAACGAATCTGAAATGATATGTTCTATGGTCGCACTTTAACCTTCGTGGAAGTCAGAAGGCTCGACATTGAAAACTTAAGTAAATACCAGAGCCTGCTAACCTAAACATTAGCAGTTGTGGCACACAGCAGAGCAGAATGTGTGAAGTATGTGTCTGAACCTTTAGATAGCACTCACACCGGGAGAATGTGACATAAAGCAATTCATTCAGCAGGCACAACCTCAGCTTAAAAGGTTATGGTCCCATTGGTCATAAAAGAAGCTGCATCAGAACTGCCTTTCAATGGGTCCAAACCTACTGAATTGATGGCGACGGTAGAAGGGAGGCAATAGGATGTCTACGGTCCCTATCCGTGGCCAATGGCTACCCAAGGTCCTTCGTTCTTAAGTGCCTGAAAAATTCTATCTACGAACACCCGAACGGTGAGACTCCAAAGGCCTGGCTCGTGATTCCCTCATATTAAGAACCTTTTGGAGGCGAAAACAAGAATCCTGATTACATTTAGGATTGGTGCGACTAGTAAACCGGAATCCACCATCGGACAGCAAATAATAAGGTCCAAAGATCTGACTCCTGATAATGGAACAGTCAGCGGTGGTCCATGGTATGCCATGTCAAATTTGTGATTGAAAGCATGCTGATGAAACGGAAGAACAAAGGTCTTCTTTTGTAAGACAATTTCAACAACTAGTACTGATAGAAAAGGTCTGCGTGCGCGGCTCACCTACCCCCGTGCTTAGTCAAAGTCATCCACTGCTAATTCTAATCGACTGCCTTGAGTCTCATCGACCCCATACCGCGCGCTCGTGAAGTTGAATTCGTAGTCCTCCTCCAGGGTGTAAGTAGCGGATAACGGCGCGGGCCAGCAGTAAGACAGGGCGAGCACTGCTGGAGGCCTGGGCGTCTGACACCAACACTATCAGCAAACACGTTGACGCGCTCCGCTCCCGCGGTCAAGAGGCGAGACTCAATTTACGACCAGGGCTGCACACAGTCACGTCGCCGTGAGACGGCGTTGACTCAGCACCCCGGCATTCCTACCGCCCATTGTTTGTTTGACTACAAAAGTGCTCATTTGACGCCACATTTTCCAAGTCTCTGAGGATAGCCTCCTGTACTAGACAGAAAGCTCGGACTAATATAAATACTGTCCCAGTGCTCACGCGTTCATCTTCTTCGCAACTAGAACCTGGGACTCGCATATTTGCGTCCATCAGTCTACTATCACTCATGAGCAAGTCACCTTCTCTCCTCCTACCCTGCTGTGGAGCACACTGTAGACGTCGTCGAAATCGAAGTTCGAACTGTCATGCTGTATTGACCGACTGGTAGCATGTCCTACTGATTCATGGACGGTTGTGACGGCCTGGATGCACGTATGTTTGAACTGAAAACGGTCAAGGGGTTGGAGATAGGAACGTCTGGGATTAGGCTAGGCTGCTTTGCGGCAGAAGTTCTTGTGATGAAATTGAGTTACCACGAGTTGTGTGAGCCCCGGAGGCAAATAACGTGACCGGCTGGTTTACGACGGTCGTCTAAAACTCCAAACAAATAGAGTCACTACAGCAAGTTGTAGAACTTTTTAAAAATTGTGTAATTAATTACCATACTAACGACACAGGTATTAGCTAAGAGCCCAAACACGCGTATTTCTCCGATCTTTTGTCGCTGCCTGACACAGCTGCGAGGGGTTCGGCTCGTCAGTGGGTCTCCCCAGCTTCCCCGATGTGTTTCTGGTGTACGAACTCCAGTTTTAACTGGCCTTGTTTAATTTCAGAGGAAACTAAAGCGCCAACTTGGGGTGAATCTTTCGGAACAGACCTTTTCAGGCACGGTCCGAAATATAGTATGAGTGTTTGAGCGGTAATCCATCAGCTACTACAGAATAACCACGTAATATTCACAAACCGCCAACAGGCAGACAGTAGTATAGGATCGTGTAATTATTTACCGTACCTGTGTCGTTGGTACGGTGAATGATTACACAATTCCAAACTACTGGCTGCCTGTTGGCGTTTTGTGAATATTACGCAGTTATTCCGTAGTAGCTGATGGATTTTAGCTCAAGACAAATTTCGGACCGTGCCTGAAAAGGTCTGTTCCGAAAGATTTACTCCAAGTTCGCGCATTAATTTCCTCTGAAGTCAAAAAGGCAACTTGTTAACAAGTTTGGTACTTACCTATCTGGCCAATGACATTTTTATGAATATCATCTAAGGCCCCAGGTATACTAAACTTCCTCATATCATCTAGATATTGCCTTGCTACGCTGGTATGACTCGTAAAGCCTTTTGGGAACTATACTCTTACACCATTCAAGTGAAACTCGCGTGTTCGCGCGCCATCTCCTTTGATCAGCATTAAGCTATGGAGGACTATTCGAGAAAATATGTAGGTCATAAATTTGTTTCAGTCTGGTGATCGTATTTAGGTTTAAAACACTTGTTCAACTTAGAACCCCTCAGGCCATCAATTGCTCGATTCACCCTATCTCCAGATTTCACTCCTAATGAATCCACCTTTTAAATGTGCCTAATAATCACTGACTGTATTGCGAGTTCTGTTCCGAACAAAAAGTTTACTCCCGAACAACGTTATCTATGGTCACCTGGAACTAGTTGTAT